ATCCTTTTTTCTTAAATGATTAAAGATCTTATATTTGAATTCACAGTAAGGTTCACTAATGTTTATGTTCAGAATCAGATTAAAACTCATTTTATGTTTATGATTATTGTTATTTTAAATAACTAACATGCTCTTATGTTTTAACTACAATTTTACTTATCAAAAACAATTTATTTTAAATATTCAACAAGATTTTCAAGAAGTTTTAACTTACTATTATAATTTATGTAATGTATTATGTGATTTTGTTTGTGTTTTATTTCTTTGTTAAGGAGGAAAGACTTGTGAACATTTCTTCTGAATCTTCAGACTCTTGATATCCTACCTCAGAGTTTTTTTGCTTAGACTGGTGGAGCTCTTGCAGAGCTCCTAAAAACAGAATGAACTTTGTCCACAGAAATCGGTCTGTTCTATTTTTCATCTCTATTGTAATTATCAATATATTGCTGCATTATATCAACAACCTTCTATTCAAATTTTATTTGCTTATTTTTTCAAAAACTTTAAACAAATCTATACCATTACATTTACTTAACATTTACCAAACAAATGTATACCATTGAGTATACTCTACATTTTTTTAAAGTTTATTTGTATAAAGATTGAGTATACCAGTAAACAGAGGCGCCTTCATGCCACCTGGGACAGCAGCTCTGATTGGCGCTACTATATTTCTGAATTTTTTTATATTATCAGTGAAAATCCTTTTTTTCTTTGGGTGCCTTCTTTATATTAAGCACCCCTTGGACATCTGCTGCCCAAGGCAAACTGTCTCTTTAGCCCCCCACCCCACCCACCCACCCCTCTCAGTGCCCTTGCCAGTACTGTGGTGGCAGAAAAGCCAGTCTTTTATTCTTTTATATTATAGCATAATAGCAACATTTCTAGCATACACATTTATTGGAATTTCTACTACTACATTACTGTTAAATTGCAGTGGTTATTTTTGGTAATAGCCACTTTTCTCAAAAATTGAATTAAAGAATAAATCAGAACTTCTATTAGAACTAAGTTTGTTTTTAAAATTGGACTCCATTGATTGCACTTTCTTTATTCTTTTTTCTTTCTGTGTCTCTGTTTTCTGGTGTCTTCATAAAAAAATTTAATTTTAAATGAAATAGTTAATAATAAAAATATCTTCTAAAATTTATACTAAAATAAATATTCTCTGTCCTAAATATGAACTTTCTTACTGCAAGCAAGTCTTCCAAAAACATCAAAATCCTCAAGCTTATCTATATCGTAAGTTTTTATGTCTTATATATTTTTTTTAAATCTGGTATGCTCAAAAGTCTGTTTTTAAGGTTTTAAGGTTTTTTCTGGTTTGCTAAATATTAGCAGAGCTTCTTTTTACATTATTCTTTAGACCAGAATACTGTTTGTCTAACTTTGTGAGAACATTTTTTAGTTTGGTGTCACGATTAACATCCAAACTCATTTTTATCTAGGGTTTCTTAACCTGCGTCAAAGTATATTTACAGTTTAGTTATAACTAAATTAATCTGTTTGGTAGTTTTATGCAGTTTAGATTGGAGGTTTACTCAGCATTACTAGCATGAATAGCTTTATATGATAATATTTAGCATCACTTAAAATATGTATACCAAGATCTCCTTCTACATCTGGTTTTTTCCAATTTGTGATTTAAATTATTGGTTGTGTTATGAAGTAAAACAGTTAGTGGATTGGTTGGTTCTTCCCATATGCTTTTTTTTTAAAATTAAGCTTCATTAACCAAACCTTTGTAATCAATACAATGTATTGGTTATTTAGCTTTCCATTCGTTTATATGGAATAGATAAACAGATCTATAATTATGTGGTTCTCTAGAAGTGTCCTTTTTAAATTATGAAGTAATATTATAACAACATACATGAGAAATAGATCTTTTGTATAGTGATTTGTTAAATATAATTGTGAAAAGTAATTGGATTATAATTTTGTTAATTTATTTCTTATGTCAACTGTTGAAAATTATTTAATAAATAAGTTATTTAATAAATAATAAATAAATAAGTACAAAATTATTTAATAAATAATAAATAAATAAGTACAATCTTTAAGAAATTGAATTTTTTTACTGAATAGGTATTGAAAACTAATTTTAATTGATTATTTAATGTGATAACAATAAATTTACCATCTGTCACAATCCTGTGCCAAATTCTCAAGGTTGATCACGATCACACACGTGGTATCATGTGACACGTGGTATCATGTGACACGTGGTATCATGTGACACGTGGTATCATGTGACACGTGGTATCATGTAAAATCATGCTTATCATTTAAAGTTTCATATGGTTTTGCAATTTTAATTATTTTATAATTCATCTTTGTAAATTAGTTATTATATGGTTTTGCAATTTTGCTATTAAAATATTAGCTAAACCTTAATATCTATTAAAATATTAACTAAACCTTAATTAATATTTTTTTCATAATTAATTCAAATGTTCACTTTTTTTTTTTCTTTTTCATAGTAAACAAGACTATGCGACCATTTGATACCATATAGTTCTTTTTATTTTTGTAATCGTGTGGTATTAAATCAATACTGATTGTATCATGATTAGTATGTTAGTGATACAAACCGATATGAGACCATCCCTCTTGGTATCGACTTACACGGTACCAAGTATCTAGCGCTCATAAATTAACTGGTAATTTCACTCCAAGGTTTTAACATGCTCTGATATAAAATTTACTATAAGTTTTAGTTTTAGATCAGTTTTTAATTGGTTATTTTATTTTTCTATAGAATGATTTTTCTCTACATAACGCAAACTTGACAAGGAAGAATGCCGAACATAAAAACAAGTTTACATTTTAAAGGAGTTGATCTTGTTAAATATTGAACACCTCAATTCCTTTATAAATTTTAACATATATTAAATAATATATAAAAATAACTTGTGTATTTGTAAGTGAGTTGATTTTTACCAGTTGTTGAAAATTTTATTCTGTAGGTCTTTACTACTCTAGTTTATTTAGTCTTATTTTAGATTTATATAACTTTTGTTTATATAACTTTTTTTATTTTAGCTATTACTGTTTGCTGCTGCATTTTAATTTCATCAGCCAGCCAATTGTATTGCGTTTATCATTTTGGCATTTTTTTTCTACATTTGTTTGCAGTATTGTATCTTAATATTTGTTCAACTCCTATCACGTTAACAACACTGTTGACTAGTAATGTATTACCAAAACACATTGATACCTATATTCCTACCTTTGCTGCTTCATGGATTATATATATCATTTTTAACTTGTTGTATGCTATCTCTTTTCGATCTATAAAACCTTTAGTAGTAGCATTTGCCCTCATACCAGTTATAGAAGAACAAGTCTATCATAAAAACGAGACGATCCCTGTCTTAACTTGCTGTTCATTTGGATTGTTAATATATACTGTATTGCAAACTTGTTATTGTTTTTTAACACAATTTGTTGAATTGGTAACATACCAAATACAAGTTATAACATTGCGTTTTAGAATATATGGTCCTTTTGTATTGTTTTTTTTGCATTGGAGAAGATTGCGTATGCATGCAGTTTTATCATTGTTTTGGTTTATAATATGGAATTACCAGTTAATTGTTTTTACTATATTTATAGATGAACCTTTTGATTTCTCTTTTATCTTAGCTTGCAGTGCCTACTCGTGTAATTCTTTTATAAAGATATTATCTCTCTGTCACATACTTCAACATGTTGTTAAAGTTATTCTCAAAGGTGTTCAGAGATGCATAGCTGATAACCACACGTTTGTGGAAGATACTCTTCATCGTCCTAATGGACTGAGAGAAAGCGTTGGTTTTTTGTTTTTAAGCTTATATACAAACTTAACAAATGTTGATCCATCGAAGCGTATAGTGCTTATGCAACTTATTATCCTGATACTTATTTCAGCTTTAGTACGTTCAGTTTTTGAAATTATTGAGCCCTATTTGTTATCATTAAATGGAGGATCAGTTGTTCACAGCAAAAAAAGACATATCAGTTTAGTAACAGCATGTCTATTATTAATATTTGTTTCTTTATATCTTGGTTATCTATTATATAACTTAAGAGAGCGTTTACCGTTTAGTATACCGAATTTAATAACTGTAGCACAAATAACAAGTGCTTTAATTTTATATTTTCTATATATGTATGATGCTAGAACTGGAGAATCATGGGAACAATTAGATGATTATGTTTACTTCATTAAAGGTGGGTGTCGATCATTTGAGTTTATTCTGATTGTCCTTATACTTGGTTATAGGATTTTAGATACCACTTCAAAGTGGACAATTTTTCAAATTATTATGGTGGTACTGCATCTTTACATAAATGTTTATCTTTCATTAAAAGATGGTTGGCACAGTTTACAACTTCGACATCTTGTTAACAAAAAGTTAAATATATTACCACAGGCAAGTTCTTTAAGATTAGAGGCGGAAGGGGAAGTTTGTCCAATATGCTTAGATAAAATGACATCAGCAAGAGTTACACCATGTAATCATTTATTTCATTTTTTTTGTTTAAAAAAATGGTTGAATGTCCAAAACAAATGTCCCATGTGTCACGCAACTATACTTCATAGTTCCGCATGATTTTATCTTACGTATTATAGGGTGCTAATATATACTTGTTTGAAGCAGCAAAAATCTCACGTTAAGTAAGTTATGAATGTCCTGAACAATATTAATGCCTAATTAGATATTTTTAGAGCATTTTAAGTAGAACTAGTCTGCAACATAAATAAAATTTAAAAAATATGAAATTTGATTTTGATTACAAGCTCATAAATCTTTTGTTCTTTTATAGTTTATTAAAGTATTTAAACTGGTATGGTTTTTAATAATTTTGTACATTTACATTGTTATGTTTAATACGTTGATACGGAGAAATTATATTATTTAAAGAGAAATTATATAAGTCTGAGTTTAGTTCTTTACAATTTTAACAATGTCAGAATGGTTATATATAAGAAGTTATTTGAACGGTTTGTCAAATTTTTATTTTTACTAGTTAACATTCAAACGAAGTTTCATTAGTGGTATAAACACTAAAAACAGCTAGGGCTTATTTTGAATACATTTAAATTAAACTGATTTTGTAAGTAGTCCAAACTGTCTATCAAACTAATGATATATTTGTCAAAATTATATTATAATCTATTGTCAATCAAACTAGTATTGTATATAAAAGTTAATAAATTGCTCTTAACTAAATATAAGACTGAGGGAGACTGCGTAATGTGACGTAAAATACTATTTTACCTTGATTATTTTTATTATTATTATATTTATTATTTCTATTAAATATTTTTTCTTATTCATTATTCTGATATTTAAGTCTAACATCAGATATTTTTGACGTTTTTAATTTTTTTCTTCGTCCTAATAAAAACTGGATTTTAAAAGGAGCGAAGTTACGATCTATAAATTCTTATTAAATAGAAATAAATAGTCGAATTTTAAACTAGTTTTAAAAAATTTTTAAGTATATAAATCCTAACACACTGAGATAAAATCATTTTTTAATCTCTCAAATAAAAAAATTAGTTTACGAAAGAAGCGCTGTTTTCAATGAACTTGTTAAAGCAGGTCGATTTCGAAAGCCCGTGGTATAGAAGACTATACGAAATTTTGGTACTTCTTTGAGATATTTTGTAATTTTTTTTTTTCAATTTTCGATACATATATTAAATGAAACATAACAATTTTGTAAATTTAAATAAAGTTAGGAATTTTAAATATTTTTCATCATCGTATTCATGACATGTTTCTTTTTATTGATTTTAATTTATTATATAGTATTGCTTACAAAATATTTCAAAATGAAAAGAAATTTAAAAAAATGGTCTCGCTGTTATCTTTATTAAAAATGAGCTACTTATTTGTAATAACGACATCATCAAATATATCAAACTTATTTTTTTATGGCGATAATAAAATATTTTTTAACCACTTAAGCCTAATAATAACTAACTTGAAAATCTGAACGAATGGTTTAAGGCCAACAAACTCTTAACTTCGAAAAAAATATATATTTTTTTCACAGAAGAAATATACAATTCACAATATTATTGACTTGCTTGAATTTGAAACAACTTCTATGCATAATTCTTAATAAGTATATCAGCTGTAATCAACACCATCACATCAAAGCTATAAATCTCAAAAGTGTGAAGAAATCAAATGTGACAGTTGAATGTAATCTACAAAAAAATATTAGTCATGCTACATTGATATTTAAGTATCATTTATTTAGTCACATTAATTTTTAGCAGCAGCAGTCTTTCGAAAAGGATATCACTTAGACATTTACGCCTAGGCGTTTGTATTTTTCCCGCTGTTTTAAATAGTTGCTGCACTGTAGCCGATGATGGTATTGAATTTGACAGTGACCGAATAGTTTTATACTTATTCAGAGCATTCAAACTTGTATCTTCTTTATTTAGATACAACACGCATTCTTTTTGAGCGCTGTTTTCTGTACCAGCATTTGGAGTGTAATCATTATATACAACAAAATTTTCAATTGTGCTGTCAGTGGTCACATTGAGATTGGTCGCTGTCGACGGCTCACTGGCAGCTAGTATGGAATTGTCAAATATTTTTCTTCAGATAGCTCGTTTATTTGTTGACATGACCATAATAAACATTATCCCCTTGCAAAGTATCAATGTTGTAGCGACAAGTTTCATGACTATGACATTCTTGTAGGTATCCTAATTTTAAAAAAATTCTAAAAATTGTAAAGCATCTGATGCTTTACGACTTCGTCGAGATGTATTCCATATTAGAGTGCATTTCGCTAGACCTGCACAATAGGTACACTTAAACTTACTGTTTGTATCACATGCCTTTCAGCATCATTAGTTGCCATTAGATGCAGTGAAACGCTGATACATGTTTTTTGAAATAGCAAAGAAATCTCGGCAATGGACTCGTAAACATCATGTTCTGGTGAAACTAAAAAAATTAAAAAAAATTTTTTTCCGGTATCTTTTTATTTCTTCCCGAAGCTTTTTTTCGTTTTCTAAGGTTTTTACTTTTGCTTAATAAGTGGAGTATAAAAACCTAACTTTGAGTAAAAAAACAAATATGTTTTTTAGGAAATTTATGGGTTTAAACACTTTGTTCCAGCTCTTTTGGTCTATAATCATATCGAAATTAGGGACGTTTATTTTACTTTACTTCGAACAGTTTGAAGCAAACCAAATAAGCAAAATCCCAAAGAAGTTCAAGTAGAGACTTTAAAAAAGTCTGAACTTATGTATAAACAAAACAAACAAAAAATTCAAGAAATTTGTTTGTTTTGTTTATACATAAAGAAGTGTTTGTACCAAGGCCTAATTAATACACGGCCGGATATATTGCATAAATAGGCCAAATATTAGAAGACCAGTTTTTCAATATTATAAATTTTTGGGTTTTTAGTTTAAAAAGATTTGTATTGTAAAATTCAATCTTTAGGGCCATCCATAAAGGACGTCATGTCAATAAGGAGTAGGGAAGGGGTCAAGATAATAACATGGAAAAAAGGGGTGTTCAAAAATAAAATTTTCAAAACTTAAATACACAAGAAGCTAAATTTGGGGTAAATATTAAAATATATGATTACAAAAAAAAAATTCCAAAATATTGGAACATTTATCTTGGGCTCGAGCGACAAAATACTCCGAAAAATCCCTCAAATTGTTCCTAAATTATTTGGCTTTGAGCGCAAGGTAAATCCCAATATTTTGTAAATCTTTACTTTTTCTAATGTGATCTAAGTCTAAGTTTATTTTTAGTAGGGATGTGCCGAAGCTAAAATTTTGCCGAAGCCACTTTGCCGAAGCCGAAGCTTCGGTACTATATATGCTCAAAATTTAATCAGCATTCAGATCAGCAGGGGTGTAAAACACAAAAGGTACCAAAACTAAGGTCCTTGACTAATAATATAGAAAAAATGTTTAAAAATGAGGACGCCAGCCAGGATTGCTGTCTTAGGCAGGGCAAAAGCTCTCAGCGCCCCTGTTTGAAAGTTTCTCATTATGTCGTTTCTGATACTTGACCGCACCGAGCGTTTTTTTTTTTAAACTTAAGCTTTTTTAAAACATTCTCCCCAAATTTTCCTATTTCTAGTTCTACTTTTTCTGTGTGCAAACCATAGTATATAACTCACATATATTTTCAACTATTCCCAATATTCTTCTAAGATTATTGCTATTTTTTTGATCATTTAGAGCCACACCGATTTTCTATGTACATCGTTTTCCTTTTAATTCTCTATCTAATCATCTAATTTTTAATCCTCTATTTAATCATCTTGTTTACTCTATCTAATTATCGTGTTCTAGCTGAACATCCTCAAATTTTATTCCCCATAATTTACTGTTACGCATCTTTTCATGTGCTGTATATTTTATTTTTATTTTTATGCACCTTTTGTTAATAGAAGTGGATAAAAATCTCTGAACATTACTCGAGTAAATTTATCTTTGCACTTGATCACTCTTTCTCTAAATAAACATTCTTAGCTGATCTAGTTGTATCTACAACATAAAAAATCTTACAATCACACTTTATCTGTTTATTGCAGTTTATTTCAACATCTTTTTTTTACTTCTCTGTATTCATTAAACAAACAATTTCTAAACTAAAAAAAAACCAAGTTAAGACCATTTTGTATTCCACTACAACTGTTGTGAACCTGCTGCGAAAAAAAAGTACAATTGATAGATTTCTCCCTAACTTCTTTTTTACACACTTTTAAGTATTTTTTTTTTTGATCATTTTTAACTTTATTGCATAGCATTTTCTTTAGCTTCTATTAATCTTTTACACTCTGAAATCTTAGTATTCATTCCTCTTCTGTCTCTGTAATGGATAAATCTGCATCAGTATCTGAAATCAAATATTAACTATCTGTGATAAAAGCTTCCATAGTAATCTAACAACTCTGTAGACTAAGCTTTAAATAAAATAATAAATAGAATACTTAATACATTTTTTATTTATAATTATATTATTACTTACTTTATATTTATAAATAAACAGGGACTGAGCAGGCTGATATTTACTTGATTTAAATAGTTTATTTAATTTAAATAAATTTTGATGATAAATATAAGAGCTCAAAGTAATCAAAGCTTCAACCTTTAATTTATTTTTAATAAAATTTAAAAGTCTTCGTTCCATGAATTCGTTACATAAAACAAATTAAGGTTTTTTTTCCATTTTATTTTTAAAAAGTTTTAATTTGTTTTAAATTATAAGGTTTTTATTCTGCATAAAAATGCTGATTCAGTTAATCTAAAGTCACACTTGGAAGCCTTCAAAGTGTATGAGGACCTTCCCTAATTTTATTATTATTTTCAAAATGTTTTTACTTATTTATTATTATCCCCTCCATAACAAGACACTTGGGAGTAAATATTACTAAGTATATGGTATAGACTCCAACTTTAACTATGTAGTCCTGAATTTATAACTTAATTAGACACTGGCAATTAGCGTATTTTTATAACTTGTACAACAGTAGCTTATAACTTTAATTACTTAAAATTTTTTGCCGAAGCCAAAGATTCGGCAAAATATTGACCTGGTTTCGGTCGAACTTCGAATATTGACCTGGTTTCGGTCGAAAGCTTCGGCTTTGGCTTCGGCATGCCGAAGCCAAAGCCGAAGCTTCGGTACATCCCTAATTTTTAGATTGTTGTGTATCCTAGTTTTTCTTAATTGTTGTTTAAATTAAAAAAGATTTCGCAAAAAAAGAAGTTTGCGCAAATAAAAAAGATGTGTTTTTTTTTTGTTTTTTTTTTGTTTTGCATAAAATTATGCGAATTGTTTTTTATTTTAAACAACAAATATAAAAAAGATGCATAACAATCTAAAAAAAAATACTGACCATTATGATTTCATTATAAAAAAAATTTTTTACAAATAATTTAAGAACAATTTGGGGCATTTTTTTTTGGTATTTTGCCGTTTGAGCTGACGTAAATGTTAGTATTTTTGGA